GCAGGATAAATCTCCCCAGACTTACCCAATGGCTGTGAACATTCTAAACTAACACAAGTCTCATTAAGTGTTCAGTTTAAGGGTATTACACAGAAATACACCACAGGAACATGAATCAAATGTGTACAATAAATTCATAATGTACGTATTTCTGATTGAAGCTAAGGGCATACAACTGTCTAACAGAGCCCACTTTGATACCGTGCAAGCACCTGCTTCTTAGTTGAAACTTTGTGCCGAGACTTCAACTTCATTCTCACCTCTGCAATCTTCCTCCAATCTTTTAGTTGGGCCAAGGTCTCAACCACAAACTTCCTTTCCGAGTCCTCTCTCTCCCCATTTATTATTAGTTTGCAGTTTTCTTTTCCCTTCTTTGCAACTACCAGGTTCATCTTCTTCCCTTCTAGCTCCTTGTAACTTTTAGGCACCTCTTTCTCCTTTGCTTGTATTTCAAACTTTCCTAGCCTAGAAAGGAACTCACCGAGCAGCCCTGCAACTTCCTTCCACTCTTGAGACTTTCTTCCTTCAGGGAACCATACCAGCTGTTTCCTTCCCTCCCCAAAATGTTCCTGAAGAGCAATAAAGGATCCCTTGATATTTTTTCTACATTCCACCTTATACCTCCTTCCTTCTGATCCAATGTTCCTGTAATTAGCTTGTTTTCCTTTGGAACTTGCTGTTATCACAAAATCCTTTAGCCATTCTATCACTTCTTGGCCCACCAGTAGGGTTGTAGCCTTCTTTGCCTCTTGAATCTTCAAGCTCGGCAGCCCTTTGATCTTCAACTTTTCAAACAGGAAATCCTTAGCTTCTACCTTTAGAGCTTTCCTCCATCTTCCTGCATCCATGATTCTCTCCACCTTCAACTCTTCATCTGCATATAGTAGATGAGAAATGTGTATCTCTTCCCTAACCACTTTGAATCCCTGAATCTGGGTTCAAATTTCAAGTGGTTATCTAAAGTCGAAAAAAGGGGTTCAGGATATCCACAATAATTGTGAAAAAGAGGGGAGAGAGGGGACATCCTTGTCACAATCTTCTATAACCCTTAAAGAAGCCATGAGGAGACCCATTGATGAGAATAGAAAACCAAGCCAACTGAATACATACTATTACTATACATCCATTTATACCAAGCCAAGCCCTAGGGAGTCATGGTCCACCCATGCACCAGAATCTCCAATGGTTGCACATACACCATCTAAGGTTTTTCCATCCCTATTGATAAAAAAAAAGGTTTGCCACCCCCCCCCCCCCTATCGGCCACTGCTTCTCTGATCACCTCTTTAATTCAATTAGCCACAATTTTGCTTTATTCAATAAAGCAAGAGATCTTGCTTTGTTTCATTTGTTCCTTTCAATAAATGAAATCTGTCTTGATCTACTGAAAATAGTAAATTTGTAATGTAAAATTCTTAGTTTTCAGTGATATTTCCAAAAATATTGGCATAAAAATTATTTTGATCTGTTTTACCTATCAAAAAATATTAATATATAAAATAATTTGACAGAATGTTTACAAAAAAACATTGAAATTATTTAATTGTAGATCTGTTCCCTCATATTTCCATTTTGCAGATTTTAAACTCTTTTTATATGCTTGAATTAATACCATATGTTTGACACAGGTGGACAATATGTTAGCTGTAGCGTCTGTTAGCTTCTCTCAGGAGTTCTCATCCACTCTTGCAAATTGCTGGGTGAAAACTGTAAGTCCCCTGCAACTTACCCCCCCCCCCCCCC